ATGTGGGCTAACCCCTATAAAAATTGAGTTTTTCGATAAATGCTTTATTAAATAGTTTAGGCTCTTTATTGTTGATGAAAACTACTCAATCACATTATAAATTTGTATTAATGTATGTTAAATCCGACATGTAATTTATCTAAATTCCATATACCACTTATACAGTGGACAAATCCCCAATAAATAAAATTATATTTTCTAGAGAAACATAAACACCTAAGGTCTCAAACATCTTTAACCTTCATACTATGTCAGTTAAAGATGCAAATATGCATTAAAACAAAATTTTGGTATTTTTTAATTTTTCTCGAAATATGTGGGCTAACCCCTACAGAAAATCGAGTTTTTCGATAAATGCTATATTAAAAAATTTAGGCTCTTTATTGTTGATGAAAATTACTCAATCACATTCTAAATTTGTATTAATGTATGTTGAAATTATTTTCATGGTACATGGACATCATTTCAAATTTTTCAACATGTAATTTATTTAAATTTCATATACCACTAATACAGCGGACAAACCCCAATAAATAAAATTATATTTTCTTAAGAGACGTAAACACCTAAGGTCTCAAACCTCTTTAACCTTTATACTATGTCAGTTAACGATGCAATTATGCATTAAAACAAAATTTTATTATTTTTAAATTTTTCTCGAAATATGTGGGTTGACCCCTATAGAAAATTGAATTTTTCGATAAATGCCATATTAAGAAGTTTAGGCTTATTATTTTTTACGAAAATTACCCAATCACATTATAAATTTGTATCAATATATTTTAAAATTATTTTCATATTACATGGACATCGTTTCAAATTTTCCAACATGTAATTTATTTAAATTCCATATATCACTTATACAGCGGACAAACCCCTAATAATTATATTTTCTGGAGAAACATAAACATCTAAGGTCTCAAACCTCTTTAATCTTCATACTATGTCAGTTAACGATGCAAATATGCATTAAATCAAATTTTCTAATTTCTTAATTTTTCTCGAAATATGTTGGCTAACACCTACAGAAAATCGAGTTTTTTGATAAATGCTTTATTAAAAAGTTTAGGCTCTTTATTATTGATAAAAATTACCCAATCACATTCTAAATTTATATCAATGTATGTTAAAATTATTTTCATGGTACATGGACATCATTTTAAATTTTCCAACATATAATTTATTTAAATTTAATATACCACTTAATTAGTGGACAATCCCCCAATAAGAAAAATTATATTTTCTGGAGAAACATGAACACCTAAGGTCTCAAACCTCTTTAAAATTCATACTATGTCAGTTAACGATGCAAATATGCATTAAACAATATTTTTATATTTTAAAATTTTTCTCAACATATGTCGGTTAACCTTCCTACAGAAAATCGAGTTTTTCGATAAATGCTATATTAAGAAGTTTAGGCTTTTACTTTTTGATGAAAATTACCCAATCACATTTTAAATTTGTATTAATGTATGTTAAAATTATTTTCATGGTACATGGACATCATTTCAAATTTTTCAACATGTAATTTATTTAAATTTCATATACCACTTATACAGCGGACAAACCCCCAATAAATAAAATTATATTTTCTTGAGAAACATAAACACCTAAGGTCTCAAACCTCTTTAACCTTTATACTATGTCTGTTAACGATGCAATTATGCATTAAAACAAAATTTTATTATTTTAAATTTTTCTCGAAATATGTGGGTTAACCCCTACAGAAAATCGAGTTTTTCGATAAATGCTATATTAAGAAGTTTAGGCTTTTTATTTTTTATGAAAATTTCTCAATCACATTTTAAATTTTTATTAGTGTATGTTAAAATTATTTTCATGGTACATGACATCATTTTAATTTTTTCAACATGTAATTTATCTAAATTCCATATACCACTTATACAGCGGACAAACCCCCAATAAATAAAGTTATATTTTCTGAAGAAATATAAACATCTAAGGTCTCAAACCTCTTTGACCTTCATACTATGTCAGTTAACGATGCAAATATGCATTAAAATTTTCTTTGATATTTTTTATTTTTTCTCGAAATATGTGGGCTAACCCCTACAGAAAGTCAAGTTTTACGATAAATGCTTTATTAAAAATTTTAGCTTCTTTATTGTTGATGAAAATTACCCAATCACATTATAAATTTGTATTAATGTATGTTAAAATTATTTTCATGGTACATGGACGTCATTTCAAATTTTTCAACATGTAATTTATATAAATTTCATATACCACTTATACAGCGGACAAACCCCAATAAATAAAATTATATTTTCTGGAGAAACATAAACACCTAAGGTCTCAAACCTCTTTAACCTTTATACTATGTCAGTTAACGATGCAATTATGCATTAAAACAAAATTTTATTATTTTTAAATTTTTCTCGAAATATGTAGGTTGACCTTTATAGAAAATCGAGTTTTTCGATAAATGTCATATTAAGAAGTTTATGCTTTTTATTTTTTACGAAAATTACCCAATCACATTCTAAATTTGTATCAATGTATGTTAAAATTATTTTCATGGTACATGGACATAATTTCAAATTTTCCAACATGTAATTTATTTAAATTCCATATACCACTTATACAGCGGACAAACCCCCAATAATTATATTTTCTGGAGAAACATAAACATCTAAGGTCACAAACCTCTTTAATCTTCATACTATGTCAGTTAACGATGAAAATATGCATTAAAACAAATTTTCATATTTTTTATTTTTTCTCGAAATATGTTTGCTAACCCCTACAGAAAATCGAGTTTTTCTATAAATGCTTTATTAAAAAGTTTAGGCTCTTTATTATTGATGAAAATTACCCAATCAAATTCTAAATTTATATCAATGTATTTTAAAATTCTTTTCATGGTACATGGACATCCTTTCAAATTTTCCAACATGTAATTTATTTAAATTTCATATACCACTTAATTAGTGGACAAACCCCCAATAAGAAAAATTATATTTTCTGGAGAAACATGAACACCTAAGGTCTCAAACCTCCTTTACATTCATACTATGTCAGTTAACGACGCAAATATGCATTAAAAAAATATTTTATATTTTTCTCAAAATATGTTGGTTAACGCCCCTACAGAAAATCGAGTTTTTCGATAAATGCTATATTAAGAAGTTTAGGCTTTTTCTTTTTGATGAAAATTACCCAATCACATTCTAAATTTCTATTAATGTATGTTAAAATTATTTTCATGGTACATGACATCATTTCAAATTTTCCAACATATAATTTATCTAAATTCCATATACCACTTATACAACGGACAAACCCCCAATAAATAAAGTTATATTTTCTGGAGAAACATAAACACCTAAGGTCTCAAACCTCTTTAACCTTCATACTATGTCAGTTAACGATGCAAATATGCATTAAAACAAAATGTTCTTATTTTTATTTTTTTCTCAAAATATGTCAGTTAACCCCCTTACAGAAAATCGAGTTTTTCGATAAATGCTATATTAAGAAGTTTAGGCAATTTCTTTAAGATGAAAATTACCCAATAACATTCTAAATTTGTATTAATGTATATCAAAATTATTTTCATGGTACATGACATCATATCAAATTTTCCAACATGTAATTTATCTAAATTCCATATACCACTTATACAACGGACAAACCCCCAATAATTATATTTTCTGGAGAAACATAAACATCTAAGGTCTCAAACCTCTTTAACCTTCATACTATGTCAGTTAAAGATGCAAATATGCATTAAAACAAAATTTGATATTTTTTTAATTTTTCTCAAAATATGTGGGCTAATCCCTACAGAAAATCGGTTTTCGATAAATGCTATATTAAAAAGTTTAGGCTCTTTATGGTTGATGAAAATTACCCAATAACATTTTAAATTTGTATTAATGTATGTAGAAATTATTTTCATGGTGCATAGACATCATTTCAAATTTTTCAACATGTAATTTATTTAAATTTCATATACCACTTATACATCGCACAAACCCCCAATAAATAAAATTATATTTTCTGGAGAAACATAAACATCTAAGGTCTCAAACCTCTTTAACCTTCATTTTATGTCAGTTAACGATGTAAATATGCATTAAAACAAAATTTTGATATTTTTAATTTTTCTCGAAAAATAATACTTTTTATTTTATCTATTTTTAATGTCGATGCAAATATGCATTAATACTTTTTATTTTTCTGATATTATATATTTACTTATAATGGTTTTATAGGGATTACAGTTTTCATATTGTATATATTTTTTTAATGTAGTATTTCCATTTTTGAAATTATGTACTTACTTATTATTATTTTCTCGTATATTATATATTTACATACTAGGTGTTTCGTCCGCCTAAACATTTTATAATTATTTTATTAATACATCTTTTACTAACTGAAAGATTATGGGAGAATTTCAATTATACCACTTTGGTGGTACCACTTTTCATATTTACCATCAACAAAGAAACATTTTCAAAAATACACATTTTATTAAAGGATAAAAGACTTTTATATCCTTGTTCTTTATATATATAAAATAAATATTAAATTAAATATTAACCCTAAACGCTAAAACATCAATTCTAAACTCTAGAACCTAAAAATTAAACCCTAAACCCTAAAAATCAACCTTAAACTCTAAAATATCAATTCTAAACCTTAAACCCTAAACTCTAAACCCTAATAAGTAAATCCTAAACCCTAAAAAATTAACACTAAACCCTAAACGATAATTTAAATTCGTTTTTATTTTGTATGTAATTTATATATTATATTCATTAAAGGTATAAACGATATTATCCACTCTAACTTTTAACGTGGAAGTTCTGTTGCGAAAAGTCACTTTGGAAATAATAGTATAGATTTAATTTTTACATTTAAAGCCTGTTTAGGCCCGCGGGCTTCACGCCTATAAATATCAAAATAAGTAACGCTTCGTTTCCAGTTCTCCCTCTCTGTCTCTCATCGAGTTTGAACTAGAAAACCTAATGGAGGATCTGAACAAATCGAATCCGAAGGCGGAGGCGGAGGAAGCTGAAACGGAAAAGAGGGATCCCTCAGAGCTTGAGGTAAGTAAACCCGGTCTGCTTTTTTATTTGGAAGCTGCACCTGAGAAGGAGGGGGTGATATTGTCTTTGTCCGAAGCTGCCAAAAAGATCGATCCCTCACATCTTTCGACTTTCCTCGAAGTCGAAGCCAAATATTCGGTGGTAAAGTGATTATATTCGGATTGATATCCGTTTCATCTAAATTCAGAAATCGAATTTTAATTCTGTTTGGTTTGGTTTGTTTGTTTGTGACAAGGATTTGTATGATTGTCGATCGATATCGAAATTCATCCATTACTATGGAATTGCACTCTCCCAAATATCCTTTCAATCGGTCCTCAACATGTTCGAGGAGGCTCCTTTATCCCAGCTCATTCATGTGAGAGTCACCCTTTTGTGAATCTCATCTAAAACTCTTCCTTCTCTTCTTAGGTGGTGGTTTAATTAGAGCTGATGATTATCCTTTTTTTTTTGCAAGGTTCCGTTATCTCTTATTCCTAGGCCTGTCTACGAAATATCAATGGATTTCATCAGATCATTTTCGTCTGAGACACTACTTGACTTTGTACGGTGGGCCTATCATCTCATTATCACTGAATGGCAGCAGCGTGGAGTTGTCGAAGTTGTACGTCCTAATGACGAATCTAAGGTTCAGTTTGTTTTTTGTTTTTTGAATTGGTGGTGGTGTTTTGGTCAGTTTTTAACTTTTGTTTCGACTCTGACTGACTTTTTTTTTCTTAACTTTTGTAGGTGGCAACATTTGTTGTGTTAGCCATGGTGTTGCGTACTGAACCTGGTGCTTTGACTTTCGTTTCGACAGTGCTGAGGGATAAACCTAAATATCAAGGCCAGGACACTCTCCCGGTTCTAATTTGGATGATGGCTCAGGTTAATTGTGATAAATCCTTTTTTTTTCTTTTTTTTTGTAACCGAGAGAGTGTGTTTTGTTCAACTTTCTCAATATTTTTATTAAATGGTCACAGGCCTTCTCAGATGATTTAACTGCTTCCTTGCATTCGTGGGCATGGAACTTGCTGCCACTAGTCGCTAATAACGAGGAGTGCTACAGCTCTCACTCATTTGAGCTCTTCATGCAGTTTGTTGAGATGTGAGAGTCCATTTTTAAGATTTTCTCCCTCCCTCCCTCCCTCCTCTGCTTGTATGTCTAAAATCTTGTTTTTTTCTTTTAATCAGGGTTTTTTTAAAGTGTCCGGAAGCTCCGACATTATTCCGAAGCAGAGCTGTTAGAAATCAGCATAGAGAGAGGCTGATTCCACCTTTTTCGTTTCAGATCTTGGTGCGGCTTACATTCCCTGCTCCATCTGCTAGAGTAGAGGCAACATTGAGGTTTGAGGAAATTTATCCCTTGTTGAAGCAAGTGGCCCTTGCAACAGATGATATTATTACTTGTGCAAAAGCACTGGAACAGATATTCACTTTTTCCTTGGAATTAGCTGGTGGAAAAGGTATTGGCAACAAACGAAACCTCTCTCTTTCTCTCTCTCGGTTTGGTGGTTCTATTTGAATTTACCACTTTTTGCTTGTTTTACAGGAAATCCTGCTCTAGCCAGTGAAGCTACAGCAATCGCCATCAGTGTTTTGACACAAAACGTTGATTGCTTTAAGCAATGGGATGTTCTCTACAATGAGCATCTTGAAGCTAGCGCTGCTCTTCTTAAAAAGCTTGTAGACGAATGGAAGGATCATTCCCTCAAACTATCATCATCGTTTAGTGATACTCTCACTGTCGAGAATGCGATGAACAGCTTCAGGATGAAGGTAATAATGCCTCTCGTAGATTCTTATTAGCTAATATTAACTAATTACCATCTCTAACCTCACCTGCTATTTTTGTCTTTAGAACGAAAAAGCCATCACTGAAGGAGTAGCCAATCTTTCTCTTTACAAAGAAGCTGACCAGTCGTGCAAACTGATCTCCAGGAGCCTCTACCGTGGCCCCGGAATAGCACCCTTAACCGAAAAGGGGGAGGAAACTGAAAAGGAGGCGGCGATATTGTCTTTGTCCGAAGCTGCCAAAAAGATCGATCCCTCACATCTTTCGACTTTCCTCGACGAATTATGGGTAAAGTGATTATATTCGGATTGATATTCTAAATTCAGGAATCGAAATTTTAATTCTGGTTGGTTTGGTTTGGTTTAGATTGGTTGTGAATGGTGGGTTGATCCGGAGGGGCTGATATCGAAATTATGGAAATTAATCGATTACTATGGGATTGCACTCTCCCAAATATCCTTTCAATCGTTCGTCAACATGTTCGAGGAGTATCCTTTATCCAAGCTCATTCATGTGAGAGTCACCCTTTTGTGAATCTCATCTAAAACTCTTCCTTCTCTTCTTAGGTGGTTTAAGGTTTAATTAGGGCTGATGATTATCTTCTTTTTTTTTTGCAAGGTTCCGTTATCTCTTATTCCTAGGCCTGTCTACGAAATATCAATGAATTTCATCAGATCATTTTCGGCTGAGACACTAAGTGACTTTGTACGGTGGGCCTATCATCTCATTATCACTGAATGGCGGCGTGGAGTTGTCGAAGAAGTTGTACGTCCTAATGCTGAAAAATCTAAGGTTCAGTTTTTTTTTTTTTTTTTTTTTTGAATTGGTGGTGGTGTTTTAGTCAGTTTTTAACTTTTGTTTCGACTCTGACTGACTTTTTTTTTCTTTAAC